CCGGGCAAGGGGCAGTTGAAAGCGGGGCAGCTTGAACAACAAGGTGAAGTGTCTTGGATGAAGCTCTTCAGCATCGGGGTTGTTTCTGTATTGGAGGTACCACTTGCGACTAGGCCTTACACGAAGCATCTTCGGCGGCTTTCATTTGGCCCAATCGAAGCCGACTCTCGCTAGCTTGTTGTCTTCCGCGAAAATCCTCATACCCAAGCCATCTCAAGCCTCCACACAAGAATCTTGGTGACTCGGCGGAATAGCTTCAAAAAAGCCAGGCACACGGCCAGATGGCTGTAATTCTCTAAGCCCGCATACCGCAGGTAACAAAGCTGCTGCTGCAAAGCCTCGCCAGTACCATGGTCGTTCGGGAACTTTTTGTTGATGAAGTCCGCCTTTTAAGGGGTCCCTCTCCTTCGAGGCGTTTTCAAATGTTTTTCGGACATTTTGCATTGCAAATTCAAGAACAATAAACAAAGGGCTTTGGTGCTTCCTTCCTGGCGTAAACCGGAACAGTCATCAAAAAAGATCGCTATTGACCGCTGGTGCAAGGTAAGGGCTGCCTGGACCAAGCGGATTTCCACGATCGCTTTGAGAAAGAGATCCTGCGTGAGGACACGATGGACGGGACACGCCAGGGTGGCAAGTACGGCTGGACAGACGCTTTGCTTTCCATGAGGAAAGCTAGGAGCAGGATGTGGAGGATAGCAAGAGGAGCGTCGGCTCCTTCTAACTGCTGTAGCCGCCCACCGCCATTGCCACCCCTGCTCACCCCCGAACACCTCACCGTCACCGCCACCCCCGCCCCCGCCGCCGAAGCCGCCGGCCTCCCACCACCACTGCCACCGCCAGAGCACATGACTTCAGGCAGCAACTTTACATGGTGGCTGGGTTTAATCAATGCGAATTGAAGCTAACAGAGTGAGAAGCAAAGGACAAGACGATCTGCGATTTCTACAAATCACGCATCGTGCACAACAAGCCGTGGGCAGAATGCGTGCTCCCGCGCAGTGATACACCGGACACCATCGTTCGGGGAGCTCTCATTGCCTCGTCTTACTTCCTCAGTCCACGCGCTGCTTGGCAGAACTTATCCAGATGAGCATGTATACTGTACCTATTTCGTTGCGACCTGGTGCACGGCAACCAAGGCTATGTGCTGCCAAGTGCAGGCGCACTCCAAGGCTTTCACTGGCGATAGTAGCGTGCAGGCACACTCCGTGGCCTTTGCCGTCCTGCTAGCTGGGATCATTCAGGGCTTGCCCTTGGACAAAGGGCTCTCATGGAAACATCCCTTGCAAGTGAGTAAAGTTTTCTACTTTTCCAAGAGGCCCCAGGCCGAATTTATGGTACCAAAGGTTTTCCTTGGCTGCGGCGCCCGTTGACCGAGGAGAATGTACACACAAGCTGGAGACCCACTGCCCTTCTCATCCGTCCACAGCGACAAAGACCACGACGAGGACTACGGCGACTACACGGAGCCGGATCCTTGGCCAAACCGTTATGTTCAGAAACTTGGAGTCCAGGCAAAGAGGAATTCCTATATATACTTTAAACCTAAGCGCTAGATCATTTCGGGTTTATAAGTTGCATCACTGCTGCCGGATGTAACGCGACATGTGTTGTTTCTTTCGTTTTTTTTGTGTTCTTCTTTCTGTTCTGTTTGTGCCTTCTACCCGCTTCTGCATGAGACAAGCAAGGGTAGCCGCGCTTTGTCACATGCTGGAAGCTCGGAAGACTGAACTCTGCATTCTGAAACCCATGGTCGGGCATGCCTCTTTGCTATGTGTCATGAGGGTAGCTGAATCCTATTCAGGCAAGGAGTGAACTGACAAAACGTGCATGTTTTCCTTTTGTTTGGGCGCATGTTGCAGAAAGCAAGGACTCTCTGCTTTGGTACGGGATGCTCGCGGAGGGCGTCCAGAACTGTGCACGAGGCATCTGTTTGAGCACCAGACATCTGCCATCCGAAAATCCCATTCCAAGCTGCTGACACCCCCCAGAGCCCCACGCCCTCAACCCACAAATTGCGATTTTCATGCGAAAACTAGGCGGCCCCTGACTAAATCAGGAGGACCCCTCATATATTGAACGTTCTCATTATGGTATATCGTATTATATCGGGGGTGTTTCATAGGGGGTGTAAGAGTCCAGCTCTTCGCGGCGAAGGCATCGAGCCTCCCCACCGTGGCGTGGAGCTCTACGGCAAGTGTTGTGCAACTTGGAAGTGGGTTTAGGGTTCGGGCTTTGGGCTGCAACCTAATTAGGGTTTGGAGTCTGGGGTTCTGGGGGTTTGGGGTTTACACTTTAGGAATTGACCTTCTTGTTTCGGCGGGGAAAGGTTCAAGCAAGCCTACGCAAACTTGCAACCCCAACTCCCTCAGCCCAAGCCCCTATTATCCCCAAGCCCGAACCGCCCGAACCTCACACCCTGGCCCGCCAAACTCAAAAGCCCTACCGCCCCGAACAACCCCTGTATCAACCCTCTGAAGTCCCTACTGAATCCTATAGCTCTTGGCATCTTAAGGCCTTCTATGGCGTCTTGGGGTCGGCCTACTACTGCGCCGCGCGTTACCCGGACGACTTCGAGAAGGCCGTCCTCTGCAGCCTGAACGGCGGAGGCCTGATGTTTAGGGGTTTTGGGTTTAAGGTTTAAGTCATCTGCGTGGTCCAGGTGTAAGGGTTTAAGGCAGTAGTCCAGGTGTTAAAAAAGGTTACTGCCACGAGTGCAGCGGCTCTGGGATCCAGGAGCAAGTCTGTGCAAAAAAGGGTACCCCTTTCCGGCCAGAACGCCACAGCCGGATGCAAATCGGATCCCAGTTCTAGGGTTGTTTAAGGTTGAGGTGCAGGGCTTAGGTTTTGGGCGTCTTATTATAGGCTAAGGGAGTATACGGTTTTGGCTTTACGGTCAAGGATACCGGGTTTTCGGGTCTGGCTGGCATTGACGGTTCATGGGGTTTAGGCTATATACTTATAGTTGGTACCCCCCGTGTTATACTGAGGGTAAAGGGCCTTCAATATAACACAATAACCATGTTTGATACTGTATTGGAGTTGGAGGTCGTTGTTGATGTTAGGGGGAGAATATTTCGGAGAATTGTCTCGCAGGACAGAACACCATGCGGAGCAGCCTTGTCGGTGCTTTCCTGGGGGCCCATGTTGGCCTGAAAGGCATTCCCCAGAAGTTTATCGATGGACTTGAAGACTCTAGACAATTTTGGAAGATGTGTTCTGTGTTGCGTTGTTGTTTCTTTCTTGTGGTCCCTACTGTATACTGAAAACAGCGTAATGGCTATATGGTTAGAGGAACAGTCCAGGACCACGACAACATTGTCTCTTTAGCCAAGCAGGTTGCGCAACATGCGATAGATCGTTCATCTCCCTCGGATGCATGGAAGTGGCCAAGTGACGAGAACCTTCCCGCAATCGGTGTCAAGAAGCAATCTGACTGAAAGTGTTCCGCACTTGGCAAAGGGTTTTCGAGACTGGACCTTGCGCGATTGGTTTCAAAGCGTTCAAGCATTCCTGTGCCAGAGAATGGGTCTACTGTGCGGGTTGCGACTGGGCAACTGCGAGGGTGTATATATTTATGTGTGTGTAATATGTAGGTATTATATATATATATATATGTATATATATATATATATATACATTGCACCCGGAAGGGGGGGGGCTTGAAACGACCTGAAGCCGAAGACGCTTTGCGAAGCCGGATTGCTACTTAAAGGGCCCAGTAGGCGAAGCCGAATTAGGAGGCGAAGACGCATTGCGAAGCCGCATTGGGCGAAGACGCATTGGGACGCGAAGCCGAATTAGTACGCGAAGACGCTTTGCGAAGCCGAATTAGTACGCGAAGACGCTTTGCGAAGCCGAATTGGTACGCGAAGACGCTTTGCGAAGCCGAATTAGTACGCCAAGACGCTTTGCGAAGCCGAATTAGGACGCGGAGACGCTTTGCGAAGCCGAATTAGGACGCGAACACGCTTTGCGAATCTCCAAGCCGCGTGGAGAATATCTAGTTACCCACCTGTCCTCAGAGATTCCCAGAAGGGGCGCTCCCCTAAGGGGTGCTCCGCTAGGGCTTCCACGGACTGAGAGGCTTGCTTCAAACTCGGAGAACAGGTTACAGTAACCGGTGTAATTTATAATCTCTGGTGAGATCGGCAATCCTTGTCTGCGGAGAGCAATCTGGTAAGCTGCATGGGCGCGCTGTAGTGGAGTGATTATAGTGGTGTTTGTTTTTGCTCGGACGGATCATGAGACCAGGATGCTGGATGTGAGCAGGCTCAACGTGTAAAGATAGATGGACATAGATGGACTGCGAACTTTGATGAGACTAGTATCACGGCTAATGTGCAGGGACAATGAGCACACTACGGACTCTCAACCGAGATCCTCGCCTGCCTGTCGAGTGCGAGTGCTAAAAAAATAATCTCTGGTGCAGCAACCCGGATGCTGCCCCCGGCTCAAGCTCTTGGGGGTTCATGCGCTCGGCTGTTTCGCGGAGCAAACTTATCTCATCGCGGCAAGTTCAGTTATTTCTTTATACCCCAGCTTCCAGGGCTAACGAGGCTTCCAGTAGAAACTGCACCTTCGGTGTTCATCACATCGGCTCCCTGACTTTGCTTCCGAAGCTACACACGAAAGTATTACTTTGTCAGGGGCCTTAGCTACGGAGCGAACCGCCGCAGAAAGGGTTCTTGTCATGTCATCTCGGTTAGAACGACTTCTTGCCTTCCAGCGTTCTTGGGTTTTGTACATAGGCGTGTACAGTGGCAAACCAGTAACGGTTGGTCTGCCGGGCAACGCTGATTGTGTAGTAGCAGTATAGACAAAGAAGCATTTGCGCGGAATCTGCGTTATCGCTGCAAGTTGCTGTTTCTGGCACGACTTGGCTTGTGTGTTTGCTTGTGGGACACTATGCGGCCAAATCTACCGATGTTTCCCCACCCTCGGTGTGGGATTTTAGAGCCAGCTCCTTGCGCCCACTGAGACTACCTCCAGAGCCCTCTGGAGTGCCCATCGCCAGAGACTACCGTGAGACTCCCTGGAGTGCCCAGCCCCATGCACAGTCTACCCTGAAACTCCCTGGAGTGCCCGAACACTCGAGCGCTTACGCCTCGCCGTGCTTCGGTACATACGCGTGTTTCTGTTGGCTCAAACCCTCCCTTTCAACCGGCCCCCTGCCCCCCTGGTTTCTAGGGTTGGCCACGAAATGGTGATGATGCTGTATGATGCCGATATGCTCTTGGTGCGGAAAAATCCGGGTTGTTTTGTCCCGGCGCAGGTGATTTTTGCTTGTGTGTTGTGGTCAGTCTTAGAAAGTTCCCCTAAAGCCACGCTAGCATTTTCCCGAAAACCCTATATGAGACATAACTATATACATTTTGTTTTTTAAGGGCCACGGAAGGGGAGCCGCAGGCTCTTAGGCCCCTGGCCCTGGGGCTCCCGACCCCCAGTCGGTATATCACAGACTGGGGGTGGGAGCTCTGCTGTAACTAGATATAGCAAAAATTGCCTTAACTCAATGCCGCGTAGCGATATAAAACTGCTTATAACAAAAATGGGTGGGCCCGGCCTGGTGAGGCCCTGGGCCACCCCCCGGCAAGCGGCACCGGGTAACAAGAACGCCCACGGGGTCCTTTTTATCCAGTTTTCTTCTAGGCGGCATTGAGTTAGGAACCTTAATCCCGTAAAAACTGAACTCATGCTCACTGTTGCTCGCCTCGGTGGCCCCAGTCCCCTGCCTCCTGACCCCCTCCCCCCCACCTCTCTGGTACATGCAGAGGCAGAATTGTGCCAACTATAGTACCCAATGCCAAAATTAGAACCTGAACGAACTGGACTCAGGAGTGCAGAAATCGAGGGTGTGCATGTATCAACTTTTTGGCGTCCGCCATATTTTTATAGCAGCTCTAATATTGTGGTCATCCAAACGGCATTGCGAGCCAGTTTTTGAGATGCAGGACTGTCACAGCGACACGGGGCATGTTGTTGACTCAAAGACCCATCTGGTCGTCCTGTGTGGCTTGTGTCTCGTTTTTAGATTTGTTGGAGGCTCCGTTTTAGCAGTCCGACGTCCAGGGGCCCATATACCCCGAAGCAGTCCGGTTCCACCATAACTTCATGCATGTTTTCTCCATGTCTTATCTTTGCTGGCGATATCCCAATGGCAATTAATGGGCTTTCTTCAATTGGGTTTAAGGCCCAGCGTTTACCTTTCTTTCCTATTTTTTAGGTCCTCTATGGTCCCCTAATCAGGGGAAGCTGGGCTTAGGGTTTAGGTTAGCGCTAGGTTAGGTTGTTTCCCCTCCCCAGAGGTGCCCCCCCCACCTCCAAGCGTAATGATGTCCATATCATCCATGGCCCAACCTTGATGACATCCACGCTGGGTTTTCCGACCGGTCCAGTCAGAATGTTCCAAATCTGCATATATTCAACCTGCCCAGGCGCGCGTAAACTCACTATTGCGTGACGTGTGTCATCCTCTGCGCATGCGTGCCGCTTTATAGGAGTAATGCCGGATGTAGAAACAACTCCCACAGGGATTGCATGTGACATATCTTTTCGATAGATAGTAGTATGCCACATGTGGCCGCCCAGTTTAGGCATGATCCGGGCGTGATGTTGGCGTGATGTTGCAATCTTAACGCATTCTGCGCGTCTAGGATTTTAGTTGGAACAAAGGTTTCGCGCACCAACATCTCATGGTTTCTGGACACCCTGACCCTGCTGTTTACCTAATTTTACACTTTGGCTTGATTTACTGTAAACGAAGGATTTAGTGTAAAATGACCAAATTTACGTAAATTTTCTGGTGAGCTAAAAACATGACAAAACACATAAAAACATTATGCAAACACAAACATGGAACTCATATTTGCGGCTGCAAACTTAGACACCACATGTAAAGGATTTAAAAAAATCACCGGCATGAGTTTGTTTTGCTCTGCAATCGCAGACACCACATGTAAAGGATCCACAGCAGAAGTAAGGACTTTTCCGAAAATTCGCAGGCCCAAAGCCATAAACTAACCAAAGAGAATCCATGCAGATTGCTTATAAGATCCACACCAGTATATACGACAACTGTGATTCAAAAGCCCAAACAAAAGACCAGGAGCACCACATATAGCAGAGAGACACTCTTTTTTTTCGCGACAGAAAAGAAAGAAGCTCTCACGATCGCCCAACTTTGCCCCGCAGAAACAAAAGGTGCCTCTCTTTGAGGGCAGCCTTTTTGGAAGCATGCCAGTGCTTCACCCCTGCCAAACAACTCTTCCATAGAATCTGCAGGCGATGCATCGTCGTCTCTCCCTTGTAGCACCAGACCATCGACGGATGAATAAAACTGCTGAGTAGGAGACTATGCAAAACGAAGTGGGTCTTACTTGTGAGATTGAAGAGCTTCTCCCCCGTCCCTTTGTAGTGGGCTTGCAGGCTGCTGTGGAGCTGTGCCATTTGGCAACCGAGCTTGAAAGCCAGGTTTGCTTGCTCCTCAGGTAAAGCCAAGAAGCCGTACCGTGGCCCATAAGCTTCCAATATTTCAGCCAGCTGCAGGTTCAACCGCAAAAAGAGCCGGATTTGCTTGTGTTGATAGATACCCTCGTCCATTTGCTCTTCGAATAGAGCAAGAATTGCACTGTCCAAAGATTGAATATCGGAAGCTCTTCCTCTCATCTTGGGGAATCCTTTTTTTGGTTGTATCATTGTAAGTTTCAGAAGTCGCTGGCGGAATGTGTATCTGGTTTCGTTGTCTCGCTGGTACTTCTTGATGAAGGAGTCGCAGTATTTCAAATTCGCCAAGATACTCCCACCCAAACAATCGTGGACCACGATGCTGAGCACGGAGCCATAAAAAAACTGTATCCACCCCAAAAACATACAATGCATATAGTCCATCGTGATACAAAGTCCCGAAAAGCCAGGTAAAGAATACAGCTGGCATGATGGATTCCAGTGGGATCTCCAGTTGGTGGTGGTGAGGCACGAGGCTTGCCACGGCGAATTTGCACGATTGTCCATCCATGTTAGTGGTCCTTTGAAGGCGGCCCGACAAAGAGCACAAGGTTTGCTGTGATTGCTCCATCGTGGAACCTCCAGCCATTTCGCATAATAATCCAAGTCGCCAGCCATTTGAACCAGGACACCATAATATCCTCCGCATAGGTCGGTTCCCGCTCGTTCGCCCTCCTTTGTACTGGCCCCATACCTCTGTGCCGTGTAACAAACATTTTCTTACTTGTGAGACAGGTTCATATATATCTACATATATATATCTACATGTGGTGAGAGGGTTTTTTACGTATACTGTGTGGTGATTTTTCTCACATCCGGTTCGTGCTGCTTTGGGATTCCACGGGTCCGTGGTTTTGTGGCTTATATATGTTTATACGATATTATATACTGTGTATATATATATATATATCATCACCATCAAGGAAGCTGTTGG